ATTGCTGCCTGTGCTAAAACCAGCGATTTTCCCCTGACCAAACCAGCTTCTGTCACCATCCACCACAGCCAGCTCCAATGCTCAGGGCTGAATCAAGGCTCCGCTTTTATACCGAGCGGTGTGAAGTGCTCCTGGAGATGGTCCCTGCATGAGTGTGCCGTCACGCTTGGAAACATCCCTGCAAAATTCCCTCTTTGCTTTGTGCTCTCTTCATCAAGGGTGTTTTCCTAAATAGGATTCTCCGTCAGTCCTGGCTTAGGCACAGCTCAGTGCCGAGTGAGTAAAGGCTTGTGTAAGACACTTAAAGCCAGAGGGTGTTACACAAGGGGTGGATGCAGGGTGTTACGTGGGGTTAGGTTTGGAAATACTTCAGAATTTCCTGCCTATTGGAAGAGTTTTGGCTTTGCCTGACTCTTGGATATCCTCTGGGGGGGGGAACAGGGAGCTGGGTTTGCTCTTCTCTTCCCCCACTCCAGCACCGTGCTCCGTAAGGCCCCAGGAGGATGCCTGCAGCAGCACCGTGTTCCCCAAATCTGGGGTTCCTGGACCAAAATCAGGCTTTGGGCTGTCTTCATTGGCTGGGCGATAGTTAAAAAAAAATTGGGAGAAATTCAGTAGATTTGTCTTTTCAGCCTTAATAACCTAATGCTGCTGCCAACAGGCAGAATAAAAATTGCTATTTTAGACAGATGTATTTATTAAATATTACTAAATACTCTGTCACTTATGTTGTCCAAATACACATAGCACACACCCTATATAATGAGCATTATATACGTTACGTTCAAGGTTGTGTACGTACACATGACATGGGCGGGTGTGCAATAACAGGCTGAAGGAGGAAGCTCTGGTCGCTCGTGTTTGTGCACCAGCCTGGCCAGGACAGTCCGAGAAAACAGAGGATGGTCCCAGCATCCTGATACAACCCTTACAATGCTGCTTCCCCCCAAATTTTCATATGCTTTTCCTTGGCCTCTCCAGCAGTCGCTGGGTGCCCATGATGAGGGTTGTGTCCTGTGTGACACCAGGGGACAGAGACCCCACCCTCCATGTGCACAGTGTCCCTGGGTGGGAGTTTGGCTGGTGGCTGCCCATCACCAGGTGAACGTTGCCTGCAAACCCCCAGATTGGTGTCACTCGGCGTGGCCAAGGCTGTCCTTGATGCTGCTGCCTGGACAACAGGACGAGCAGGAGCAAGTTGTCAGCTCAAAAATATATTAAAGGGGATCTGGACTGTCCTGGGGGTGAACAACTGCTTGAATTTGGGCATTTGAATGTCACCACGTCAGCTTTACTGGACTGGGTCTTCTCATTTCTTGTCTTTCCAGTCTTTGATGTTGGTTTTCCATTATCCCCTCGTTGGCTGAGTCTCCCACAAGCTCCAGCCTTTCTACCAACCTTCTGGTGGTATCTGAGCTTGGATCGGCGTGATTCATTCCACATTCTCTTCCAGCCCTCAGGGAATCCAACAGGGACTGCGTGGAAGAGGTAAAGGATGCTCCTGCTTCACTCAGGACTTGCAGCTCCTCGGCCAAGCCCAGCTCCAGATGCCAAGCTTCGGGAAAGGTGGAAATGGTCCCGTGGGACCTGCAGGAACATGCTCTTCCATCCAGCGTGCTGCATGAGACCAGTTTCCCTGTAGGAACTGGATTTGCTACAAAACGTGGTGCTCCCAGCCTGAGCCAGGAGATGTTCTCCCCCAGGCTCTCCTTCGGGCATCTTGTGATAATTTCCTCCCTTGCAGCTGCCATGAAGCGACAGATTAAATGGGATTTTCCATTCCCAGAGCCAGATGATGAAGGACGGTGGGGTGGCCATGGAAAAGCTATTGTCAAGAAGATGGGTGAGCGGCTCCGTGCAGAGGTGCATGGTGAACGCAAGAAGGTCCGTAACAAAGAGAAAGCCCAGCAGCCAGCACGGCCCCAGGAGATGGGCAGGGGAGGCAAGGCAGGATGGACCAGAGGATGAGGGTTCATGCACAGGGAAGGACAGGAGATGTCTGACCTGGCAAGGGGAGGGCAGCACCCCAAAAGCTGGTAGCTCAGACCTACAAGGACTTCACGGCATGGTCAGACACCCCAGGGTCCCCTTGGGATCCTCAAAGCCCAAGAGGAGCTGGGCTTTGGGGACACACCTCAGGGGGTCTGCCAGCCAAGGGCTGCCCAAGGGGGGGGGGGGGACATGGAAAATCTGCCCTGCACCCTGTCCCGCTGCAAACACCGAGGCACCAGGACAGCATCCCAGGGGACAGCATCCTCCCTGGCCCAGTGCCACGCTCCCGTGAGATGAAACCTTGTCATCATCCTCTTAGTGACAGCGAATTTTTGCATTAATTGGCTCATTAAGTGCTCCGCTGATTTTTCTAAGCCGCCCTCCCCCACCTGGCGCTCGACAAAGCGGGATTAACGAGGACTAATGACTTCAGAGCTGCCAGATCCCAGAAGCAGCCTGAGATGCTTTCGGGAGAAGGTCCCCCCGGCTCGCCCCGAGCACCAGGCAGG